AGCCGGCAAATGCCATGCCAGACATTAGGCTTCCTTATGCCTTGACAGACATTGGGCTCCCTTATGCCTTGACAGACATTGGGCTCCCTTATGCCAGGACAGACATTGGGCTCCCTTATGCCAGGACAGACATTGGGCTCCCTTATGCCAGGACAGACATTGGGCTGCCTTATGCCAGGACAGACATTGGGCTCCCTTATGAAAATGGAGTTCTCCACCCAAGAAAATCTGGGTGTTTTTTGAACTCTCCTGTAAAAGTGAAAAACCAGACTTGCCCTAGTTTTTTTGGTGGCCCTCGAAGGGTGCCCAGTTACAGTCAGCTAAAAGTCTTGTCAGTTTGATAGTGTTTGACCCTCTCCGTACGTCGTGCTTTATTACAAAATGACCCTAGACCGTACGGATAGGGCTAAGAGCTTAATTAGCAGCATGCACTGTATGCTTCCCAGGAAGCCCCGAATGTTTCTGAGTGTTGTCGGGTGTGCTGGGGTCATGATAGAGAGGGTGAACCTCACAAAGCTTGTAGAGCGAGGATATACATGCAGTCGGTATTGTTCTATTTTTGTCACTTGTCTGGGAATGGCTCATTCATACGAATACCGCACGACATGTTTGTAAAGAGAAGATACCAAAGAAATGGTTGATTTGTCCCCCCCCCCCCTTGTTCCATGTTTTATGCAATTTTATGTAATGTCTGATGTTACTCTCACAAAGATGAGGAGTTGAGTGGGCGTTTCTCATATATATATATATATATAATATATATATATATATACATGCGTACATACATACACATACATACGTACATACATAATATAGACAGCATTTGTATTGAGTAAGCTTGCTTCTAGTCTTCTGATGTTATCTACATGATATTTGTGAGGAACGGTCATAGCGCATAGCGAGATGCATACATATATACATACATATATACATACATAGACAGCGTTTGTATAAAGTAAGCTTGCTTCTAGTCTTCTGATGTGATCCTGGGACATTGTGTTTTGTTTCCTGCTGGAATGATCTACTCCTTGTGTGTGCCATGTTGTTTGTTGGGAGAGTTAGTGGTGGGTTATGGTGGGTTGTGGGGGAGGGGGAGGGAGGGGAGAAAGGGGAGGAGGG